TCAAGACTCAATTTATGTGCCATATCCTGTAGGCAGCCTTTCTAATCTTCTTAGCTCACTCCTTTGCACATACCTTTCCCCATTACTATCATGTATACAGGTGATCTGACTAGAGAACGTCAACTTTCAAGACTAAGACTATTTTTTATTCTGCCTTTGTATTCTCTAGTTAGGTCCTGCACAACTTGTGCCACCTGCAGCATGCCAAAGGACTTCCTCTACATTTTTCAAAGGCTACCTGAAATCCTCTGATGGGCCACAAGTTGTGCAGGCCTGCTCTAGTGCTGAGCACATTATCTTGCATGTAGTAGGAGCTAAATAAATGCTTGTTGGATTGCACTAGATGTTTGTGACACACCAAGGAGACCTCTTCAATTATGGTATGAACCTGGAAATATTGTTATAAGCTATTAAATTAAGCTTTTACTTTTTGCAGTTATATTCTGAAGGTCATGACTTAACATGTTATGTCCATATCTATGTAAGAAGCTACGTTACGAGAGCACTATACTATTTACACCACTTGTGGTATTAATATGCCACTATTATGGGATTTTGGTTCTACTACTGGTTTGCTGGATTATTGGTTCTATGTCAGAAAGCAGACCAGAAAAAAAGTCCCTAAAAAAACGGAAGAAACTGGCATTTGTTTATGTATTGGTTAGTCTACAGAGGCAGGAAAACAAGAAAGCTCAACAGTTATACAAATAAACAAGGAAGGGGAGACAACAATGCCTAAAAGAGAAAACCCAAACACAAGTGAAAAAAGATAATACTAATTTTTTTGCATGAATTCTTTGCTATTGCGCTCAGGTACCTACCCCAAATGATTTGTCTTCAAGTAAAGGGGTAGAAGTTGGGAGAATGTAATCTAATTGGCTAATTACAATAGATTGCTAATAAGCTAGACTATGTTACTAGTAAAACACTTCAAAATGCAAAATTTTAAAATCAAAAGGATTTAAAAGCTCCTACTCCAGAATAAATTAACCTGTTTTTTTTTCCTTCAGCCTGAAGCTTAAGCACAAATTCTCTGAGACCTAGAAATGATATATGAACTGAACTTTTATATTCCTGCCACAGAAAGCCCAGTGTCTGTAAGAGTGACATTTCATGTTTGGAATAGAGATGGATTAAGATGGAAAGGAACTTAATAAAGAGAACCATCACTTCATAATGAAAATAATTTCAAAATACCAATTTAATGTTATAAATTTCAATTCCAAAGCTCTAGTTTCAGTGCTGATGCTGCTATAGTTCCAAAACATTTTTCCCCTCCTGCTCTGGCCCAGAAAGACAACAAACTACAGGCAAGTGAGTTTTGTCTCTTTAAAATAATATATTGTATATAACTATTCTGACTAGTTATTCTGGAATCTAAATCTGGGCAATGTCAGTAAATGGAATAATCTCTCAGTTAACAACATTTCCCAACTTTCTCACAATTGCAGCATTTGTTGGAACACTGGAGGGAGGGAGGTAGTCTTTGTCTCTCCCCATTTCCTTTTTCTCTTTCCCCAAAAGTCAAACCATCTATGCATCTCCAACTCTTAATCCTTACCACTGTATAGAAAATACATATACTTTATCTATATCTTTTCTTCTCATTATTTACTATTATTTCCACTTGGTCAAGAAAATTGGCAGAGTACCCAAGAAATCTAAGATGTCAGAAATCTCTCTCTCTCTATACACACACACATACACATACATACACACACACACACACATATATTTTTTTAAAGTAATCTATCCAAAGGAAAATGTTATGCAGATCTCAGGGAAGTAATGTGGTACAGTAGAAAGAGCGCTGTCTTTGGAATATTGGGACTTGGATTTGAATTCTGGTTCTTCCTTTTACTACTTCCTCCATGACCATGGGCAAGTCACAATCTGGATCTTGATTTCTTCATTTATAAAATGGGGATGGGGGCCTGGACTAGATGATCTCTAACGTCCTTTTCATCAACTTTAAATCTGTCATCTATTGCCACCTGACTTTTTTGTTATATATTTGTTTATTTGGCCTATTAGAAATGGTTGGATAAATGAGCTAATGAGAGGAAAGAGAGAAACTTGGCATTTAAATTTTGCTTATTTCTCTGATTGGATCAAGATCTATCCATCTTTTGTATTCCACATCTCCCCATTTTTGTTTCCTACTTATCATGATCTCCTATGGCATACTTTCATTAAGATCTCTTTCTTTCTAATTCCTCCAAGAGGGAGGCTATATACGGGCAAAAGTCTACCTGTCCTTGATACATCAAGGTAGTATCTCATATTACTTCTTTTGAGGAAGCAAAAAAACCTAGCCCCACCCCCCCACCCCAACCCTCTTCCAGTAATCTACTCAATTCAGGATCCGTCCGGAGTACTCTGACCTTCCTTTAATCTAGAAGAGTCATCCATTCATACTACCTTATCTATTCATTCCAGACTAATTACTCACAAATCTACATTTTCAACACTAAACAATCACCAGTGCTCTAGTCCCACATTACCGACTACCTAAATGTTTAGACTTGAAGTTCCTCCCAACCCCAACCAAAAGGCAGTGGAAAAAATATCTGACCAGGAGTCAGGAAATTGTTAATTCCAACTCTATTATCTAGCTCTGTGGCCTTGGGCAAATTACTTAGTATCTCTGGGCCTGCCTCGGTTTCTTCAACTGTAAAATCAAAGGGCTGGAATGGTTGATCTCTGAGGTCCCTTTCAATTCTAAATTCTATAATTTATGCCCAAAATCTTCACTTTTCTTTCCCAAAGAGGTTCCTGTTCACAACTTTGTCAAAGTATTATTATTTTTTTCTTCAGTTTAGAAGCCTTGGAAATAGTTCCATTTATGAAACACCTTACTGTTTAAAAAATGCCCTTTAAATTGTACAAGGGCGGTAGAGGAAATAATTTTTATTTTTATTTGTACAACTGTGACGTCACTCGTATGGGGAACCACTGGTGAGGAAATTCTCTACGCCAAAGCAGATCAGAAAGTGTTTTGCAACTTGTCTTAAAAGCTGCATAGGACACTGAGGGGTTAAGTGACTTGCTCAGGGCCACATAGCCACGATGTGTCAGAGGAGAGATTTGAACCCAGGTCTTTTGACTCCAAGGCTTGCTGGATCCTCTAACCACTTTATCTGCCTACTTTAGACTATTTTACAAGTGAGGGAACCGAGGTTTAGAAAGATTATATAAATAGTCCACAGTAATTGAGTTAAGTGGCTGAATTAAGACTTTAACCCAAGTCATCTTCTGCCTTTTGAGACTGGAGTTTTTTTCTATTACATCAGGTTGTTTCCCTACTAGTAACAAGGTATTTTTTATTGTTTTCTAAAAAATTTTTTTGATATCTTTTGTTTTTACATAATCCACATTTCCCATTGTGGCCCTCCTCCTCACTCATCCCATATAAACAAATTTTAAAGTAAAAATGTTCAGCAAAACTAACATAAAAAAAGTGATATCAATCGACCAATAAATATTTATTAAGTGTCTACTATGTGCTAGGCACTGTGCTAAGCACTGTTCTTTTTACTGTTCTTAATGAACAGGTTTCAGGGGGGCTTAGACATTGCTTCCAACCTACCCACTCGGTTTCTGTCAGCACGTATGGACATCTCCCAGGGGAGTTAAGCCACTGCTTATTCAGACCAAGAAAGAAACATTGTACATCTGGTTATCTAACTTCCTAAACTTTTCCATCTGCCTTTTTTTTCAAAAAGCAATGGAACAAACTGAATTGGTTTTGATAACATTTGGGCTAAAAAGAAGGAAAAGACAGCAACATTTTCACAGAATTCTAGAGTTGAAATGGAACCATAAAAGCTTCTAGTTTAACTTCTTTGCCCTACGCAGGATTTCCCCTTACTTTATATCTGCCAGCCTGACCCCTTTGGTGTAAAAGGCCTGGGAGTTGATAAACGTTTGTTTCGTTTTGTTTTTTCTTTTTTTCATTATCTGATATTTTAAGAATAGAAAAGCAAAGTACCTCAATAGCTGGATGGTGTCACAGAAAGAGAATTGGATTGGAGTCAGAGAACCTGGGTTATATCCCAGACCGACACCAGTAACCAGTTACTCACCTTTTCAGGGTCTCAGTTTAACCATCTGGAAAATAAGAGAGTTGAACTAGGATGGTTCCTTCCATTTCCCCATGCTATGATCTATGCCCATTTTGGGAATTATTTTTATTTGGGGAAGTTGTGCCTGTGTGTGACTATGAGGAATTTCATAATTTCACGAGGAGGAGAACGAGAATATGGAGGTGAGGTTAACTTAATACAGAGCAGAGAACCAGCTGATGTGTTTTCCTTTTTGATTGTGGGGTGGAGAAGCACAAAAATCCAAGAAATGAGGTCTCAGGACGGGGCACGGGAAGGGAGGTAGGGCTGGAACCCTGGACACGACTGAAGGGGCCCTCAGGTACGCTGGAGGAGAAGAACGGGGGACATCCCCCGCGCAGTCCCAGTTATAGACAAAGAGGAGGGGAGTTTGGGAGCCAGGAGAAGGGTTTCGGAGGGCATCCCCGAGCATCCGGGGGTGGGAGGGTCGGCGCGGAGAGGCTGCGGTTCCCCAGGGGTCCGCGGGCTGGCGCCCTCGCCGGGGGAGCAGGGATCCCCGAGGAACGTTGGCGAGGGTCGCCAGGGAGGGAGCGGGGGTGGGGAGCTGTTTTTAAGTGGGTCTGTCCCCCGACAAGGAGCACCGAGGAAGCAGTCTCAGAGGCTGCGGACCCGGGGCGGCGGAGGGCGAGTCATGCCAGAGGCGGCCCCCCGGCGCACTTCCCCTGCCAGTTCCAAAATCCGACTCACCCGAGTCCCTTCAGTCCGCCCCGTCAGCCAGCCGCCGCCGCCGTTCTCCAGCTGCTGCTACCGGCCCGCGCAGCCGCACTGACCGCCGGGCGGCCCCACGTGACAGACCCGGTCGGCCCCACCCACCCTCCCGCCTCACTATTTCCCACGTGACCATCTGAGACCTCCCCTTTACATTCTCGCACCACCCCTACGCTGCTTGTAGTAGCCTTCCTTCCCTCTCCCGTGACGGGTAAGATGGCTGCGTCCGCGAGGAGTGTGCTGAGTCTCTCGGCCTGGGATACTGGCCGCATTTGGGGGCGGCACTCCGTCCTCGTGGCCAAGTGCTTGTGTTCCGCTACTGCCGCAGCTCAACCTTTGAGTGCTCAGCAGCTAGCAGAGAACCTGCGAGCCAAGAAGCAAGAACAAAAAGCGAAGGAGAGGGAGGTGAGGGCGCCGAGACTACGACTCCCAGGAGGCAGTGCGCGCACCTGGCGGGGGCGGGGGGAGGTGGGGACGGTGACCCCCAGTGTTGCGGAAGTCGGGGTTGGGGTTCTGTGGAACAGCCACGCCTTGGCCTGGCTCTGGTGCTTTGGCACCAGGCAGCCCCATCTCCATTTCTTTTTATTTTTAAAAGAAATTGAATTATAATCTACCCGGAGGTACTGTCGTGGGATATAAAGAGCTCCAGCCTTGGATTCAGGAAGACCTGGGTTCAAGGGCGGCCTTGGTCACGCTAGCTGTGGGCTAGTCTCCTCACTTCTCGGTACTCTAGGCAGCTCTTTAACATTGAGTTACTGAGTTCTCTGTTCTGATGAAATCCTTAGTCACCACCCCAAAAACACACAAATATACCAGGAAACAAATTTTTAAAATGAAAAATGTTACTGAAATTAAATTTCATTTAAATGAAAATGAAAAATAAAACCGTAATATCCAAACTATATTTTAATTTTAAAAATATATTATTGATAACATTTGGACCAGAAAGGAGGTAATGTATTTATACTTTTTTTTTTGACACAACAGATAATTCCCAACAAACACCCAAACAAATCCCTCTGTAAAACCTATTCAAGAAAGCAGTTTGATCACCCTTTGTTAACAGAGGGGATGTGTGTCTTTGGACTTTGGTGATAGGAAACTAACCTCAACCATCCTGTGTTTTGTTGCCTCTCCGTATTGATTTTATTTACTTTGGTTTGGTCGGTTGTGTATGCTGTCGTGCTGCTATGGGTTCTGACTGTCACATCATACAGGTCTTGCTCGTCTTGTTTCTCAGACTTTTTCATTCCTTATGGGATAGCAGTGTTCCATTACATTTGAATTGGTTTCAAGATCACACATTCATGCTCACCCATTGGACACAAATTTTGCTTCCAGCTTTTTCTTAACTTATGAACATTTTCAACATACGATTCTTTTCTTATTGTCAGTTACCTTTTGGGGCTATACTACCAGTAGTGGCATTTCTGCATCAAAGGGTGTGCACAAATTTAGTAATTTTCTGGTATAATTCCAAATTGTTTTCCAAAACTGTGGAACTAATTCACAGCACTACCAGCAGTAGGGTACATCTTGAAAAGTTTTCATTCAATCAGTAAATATTTATTAAGTGCCTACTATGTGCCAGTTTTCATGCTAAGCACTGGGGATATAAAAAGAGGCAAAAGACAGTTCCTGTCCTCAAGGAGCCTACAATCTAATGGAAGAGAGAACAGGATAAATAGGAAGTAATAATTAATAGAGGGAAGGCACTAGAATGAGATTTCACATCTTCGGCATTTTTGCTAGTTTAATGGGTGCTCCATTCTGATAAAGATGTCTTTCACATATACTTCCATACTTCAGAGGATTTGTAATCCCTTTGAAAGGACTCCCTCAAATGACACCGATCCCAACCCATCCATGCACGCTCATTCCACGTAATTCTTATCCATCTCCTCCCATAAATCCTCCACACCTCTAGGTGCTCAGAGCTTTCTTCTAAGTCTCTTGACATTAGCCTGTTAGCTACTAAATCATCTGTTAGCCCAGCACTCTCTTTTTGTTTCAGTAATACATCTCTTTGGCCTCAATTTCCTCTGTAAAATGAGGGGGTTAGACTAAATCAGAGGGGCCAAACATGCACTCCCTAGGGCATCAGGAACCAAATTAAAATGTAGTTCCTACCAGATGGTTTTCTAAATTAATATGTGGCAGACAAGGATCCTTATATACAATTTAGTGGCCCTCATTTCTTCTCATAAATCCTCCACAAGGGAACTACTCAAAATGCTGAACCTTCTTCTAAATCTCTCGACAGTACCCTGTTAGCTACCCATCCTGTTGCCATTATCGCTTTGATAAACCCCAACCATGGGTTATTCCCATCATCTACCTCCTTTGTTCTTATTCATGTGCTGCTAAATGAAGCTAGAGAAAAGTCATGAAAGTATGGTTCCTGGGTTCACTACAAATTTAAAATTTTTTGGTTTTGGTTAGGCAGTGGACTTTCCCAGGGTCACACCGCTAGTAAGTGTTATGTCTCTGAGGTGGGATTTGAACTCAGGTCCTCCTGAATCCAGGGCCAGTGCTCTATCCACTGCACCACCTAGCTGCCCCTACAGATTTAAATTTCATAATCTCAACTGGCCTTTCACTGCAGCAAGGCAATCCTTTTAAACCTTCCTAATCAAATCATTGTTCCACTCAGCCAGCAATGGCTTTTCATCCCTCTTCAGGTCCAACAGTAGCGTCCCTCCCTTACCCTCTCAGGGTTATACTTCACCAGAAAAATTGAGGCCAGTCATCAAGAGCTTCCTCTTTGCTTCTCTTCTTCATTTCAGATAATCTTCCTCACAATCTGAAATGCCCCTTTCTTCTAGGACCTTGTTTTTATGGGATCTGATAACCAAATATGCAAAAGAGGCATGGCAAAATACAGAATCTCATTGATTGATGGACCTTGCTCTTAAGGGCCAAAAATGACATATTAGCAGAGGGGTTACAGGTTGGGTAAAGTGTGGGGCATCTCCACTGGCTAAGTGGCCGTAAGATGGTCATAAAATGGTCACCTGCTTGTGATGGACAAGGAATACTGGTCCAGAGGTACAAAAATAAAACGAGGGACACGCGAAAGCATCAAGATACCCCGCTCATGCTGGGTTTGGACGTGGGATCTGGGTAACACAGGGTGGAGGCGTCTTTGTCAGCATTCTTGTGGTTTCGCAAGTGAGCCTCACAACTTGGTAAGTCAGTAGTGAACATTACATTGAAGTTTCAAGCCCATTATAAGAACCTGTCTGTGTCTATATGATTTATGTAGACTATCAAGCTGATTGGAATAGAGTAGGGGTACAAATGAATTATTTCTCGCGTTCCCTTTTACATCCTGGCTTCCTTGGCCTTCAAGACTCAGTTCAGATTCTGTCTTCTACAAGATGCTTTTCCTAGTCCCCCCACTGCTAGTGCCTTCTCTGTGAGAATACCTTCCATTTATACCGTGTATATCTTCTGTGTACGTAGTTATTTACCAGTTATGTCACCCAGTAGTATGTGAACTCCTTAAGGCAGGTAAGTGTCAAGTGTTTGGTCTCAGGCCAGATCCTGACTTCGGGGCCGGTGCTCTATCCACTGCGCCACCTAGCTGCCCCTATTTACTTGTATTTTTAGTATTTGTCGTTTCTCATGGTGCAATTATATCCAATTATTTTGATCTACCACAATATATTTAGCTGTTTTCCAATTATTGGATATATATCCCAGTCGCAATTCTTCCTTAAGTCATGGTGTGAATTGTTAAGGCCATTGTGAGTGATACCTTTTTTTCCTTTCACAGGTGCCTAGAGACCCTGTTCAGAGGAGAGTGCAGGAGCTGAAACGGTATACTCAGCAGCTACAGAATGTCCACCCCAATGTGTTATCTAAAGCATTGAAGAGAGGGATCCTACATCAAGACAAGAACCTTGTTGTCATTAACAAGCCATATGGTCTGCCTGTGCATGGTATGGATCAGAGAAGGAAAAGATGAACTGAATTGAATTGTAGATGTACCAACTATATACAAAGGTCTGTGCTAGGTGTTGCATATAGAAACATAGAAAAATGACACAGTTCATACCCACAGGAAGTTTATATTCTGCGGGGCTAGGGAATGCAGCACATGACACATACAAGAATAAAGGGCAGCTAGGTGGTACAGGGCATGGACTCTGTCCTGGAATCAGGAGGGCCTGAGTTCAAATCCAGCCTCAGACATTTGACTCTTACTGGCTGTGTGACCTTGGGCAAGTCACTTAACCCCAATTTGCCTAGCCAAAAAAAAGAAAAAGAAAAGAGTGTTAAAAGGTTGAGAGAGATGAGAATGAGGGAAACACCCAAACGATGTGTTTTGGCAAAATCTGAGTGAGAGGACACTAGCACACTTTTAGGTAGTAGAAGGCCTCGTGGAAGAAATGCCTGTAATTTTTATAGGTGGAAAGGAACTTAGAAAAAATCAGAGAAGCCTAGATAGCAGAGTAGAGGAAGCACTCAGCTGAGCTTTTGTAACATTCCCCTTGAGACAACTTTAAAATAAGACCTTAAATTGAATTCTGGAGTGGCAGAGCCAATAAAAAGTCAGTGAGACATTTTTCCAACTCAAGGCAACTTAGGAGGTCAGAGAGATGTGTGACATGGGGGTGGAGGCTGGCTTGAAGGCTATGTGGATGAAATGCTAGTGGTGGTGATAGAAGAAGCAGGAGCTTCGGGAGCTCTCAAGCCAGAGATAGTCAGGGTACCTGGCAGTTGGTCAATAAGAGATTATAGGGGACCCCGTGCTAGCACTGGACACGGGACTAGATGCCGTTTGCCTGTACCCACTTCTGGGTCATAGTTCAAGGGTAGAGAGGAGTACTTTCAGTCAAAAGGGAGTAGGAGCCCTGAAGAATGGTATCAATTTTGGTCAGAATGGATCAGGGACCCTAAGGAACAGTATCACTTTGGTCCAAGGGATCAGGTGCCCTTCATGGCTAAGGATCAGAGTGAAGATCAGTGGCCACACTTTTTCCCAGATCACACCTTGGAAACAACAAAAACTTCCAGACTCCTAAAACTAGCTCTGAAAACAGCAGTGTGAAAAAGCCTGAAGCTTAAGACAACGTCCCTTCCCCTGTGTAAGACGGTAGCCTAGCAATCCCAGATTTCAAACTGTATTACAAAGCAGTAATCATCAAAACAATCTGGCATTGGCTAAGAAATAAAGTGGTGAATCAATGGGGTAGATTAGATACACAAGGCATGGTAGTAAATAATGTTAGTAATCTAGTGTTGGATAAATCCAAAGACCCCGGCTTTTGGGACAAGAACTCACTATTTAACAAAAACTGCTGGGAAAACTGGAAAATAGTGTGGTAGAAACTAGGTATTGACCAACACCTCACACTGTATACCAAGGTAAAAATGGGTGTGGTTATCCCTTCCATGTCATGGTGGGTTAAGGGTACAGCGCCCCTGAGATCTGGAAAATCTTCATAAAATTTTTTGGCCTTCCTTTTGTACCAGGAGTCTGAATTTTTTTCTTTTTCTTTTATGGTGTGTTTACAATATCTTGCTGTAAAATTTGGTGTAAGTATTTGGTCACAGGCTCTGTGTTATCTGCTGTCCTTTGCTTGTTGTCTGTGGCTTCCACAAAACTTCTCGTTTAAATTCTTACGCTGACCTGTGATATGTAATGTGGAAGGGATAACTGTACATGATTTAGACATAAAGGGTGACATCATAAACAAATTAGAGGAGCATGGAAAATTTTACCTGTCAGATCTATGGAGAAGGGAAGAGTTTGACCAAACAAGAGATAGAGAGGGTCATGGGAAGTAAAATGGATAATTTTTATTACACTAAATTAAAAAGCTTTTGCATAAACAAAACTAGCAGTCAAAATTAGAAGGAAAACAGGGAAAAATTTTTTACCACAAGTTTCTCTCATTTCTCAAATGTATAGGGAACTGAACCAAATTTATAAAAGTAAGAGCCATTTCCCAGTTAACAAATGGTCTGAGAATATGAAGAGGCAGTTTTCTGAAGAAGAAATCAAAGCTGTTAATAGTCTTATGAAAGAGTACTCTAAACCACTGCTGATTAGAGAAATGTAAATTGCAACAATTTTGAGATACTGCTTCACACCTATTAGATTGGCTAACATGACAGAAAAGGAAAATGACAAATGCTGGAGAGAAGGTGGAAAAAATGGGACACTAATCCACCACTGGTAGAATTGTAAATTAGTCCAAACATTTTGGAGAACAACTTGAAACTATACCCAAAGGGCTATAAAAGTGTGCATACTCTGTGACCCAACAAAGCACTACTAGGTCTGTATGTATGCCAAAGAGATGAAAGAAAAGGGAAAAGAACCTGTTTGTATAAAAATATTTACAGCAGCTTTTTTTTGGTGGTGGTTGTCGTGGCAAAGAATTGGAAATTGAGGGGATACCCATCAGTTAGGGAATGCCCGAACAGGTTGTGGTATACGATTGTGATGTAGTGCTATTGTGCTATAAGAAATGAGGAGCAGGAGCAGGATGGTTTCAGAAAAGCCTGGGAAGACATATATAAATTGATGCAAAGAGAAGTGAGCAGAACCAGGAGAACATTGTACATAGTAACAGCAATATTATATGATGATCAACTGTGAATGACTTAGTTATTCTCAGTAATACTATGATCCAAAACAATTCCAAAGGACCCAGGTTGGAAAATGCTATCCACCTTCAGAGAAATACCTGAAGGATTCTGAATGCAAATCAAAGCATACTTTTTTTGTTTTTGGCTAGGCAATGGGATTAAGTGACTTGCCCAGGGCCACACAGCTAGTTAAGTATTATGTGCCTGAGGCCGGATTTGAACCCAGGTCCTCCTGAATCCAGGGCCGGTGCTCTGTCCACTGCGCCACCTAGCTCCCCCTGAAGCATACTTTTTTAAAATTTTCTTTAGTTTTCTTTTCTTTTTTTGTTGGTATTTCCTTTTGTGAAATAGCTAATATGGAAATATATTTTGCATGACTTCACTGGTGTAATCGCTATAAAATTGCTTATCTTTTCAAGGAAGGGGAGGGGAAGAAAGAGAGTTTGGAACTCAAAATTTTAAAAAATGATTGTTAAAAAAATTTACATGTATTGGGAAATATTTAATGAAATAAATAAAACCATATTAAAAAGAAAGAAATAATTAGAGGCAGCTAGGTGGCACAGTGAATAAAGCACTGGACATGGAGTCAGGAAGACCTGAGCTCAGATTTGATCTCAGACACTTACTCACTGTGTGACCTTGGGCAAGACACTTAACCTCTCTTTTTCTCAGTTTCCTCAACTGGAAAATTGGGGTTAAAAATAGCCATCTATCTCCTAGGGTTGTTGTGAGGATAAGATGAAATATTACTTATAAAGTGCTTAGCACAGTGTCTAACACAAAGTAGATACCATATAAATTCTGGTTATCGTTATTATTGTTGCTATTATTATATTTTACTCATTTTACAAATAGGGATATTTAGGCCCAGAGTGGTGAACTGATTTGCGATAGGGCACATAATATTTTAGCAGTCTGGGATTCTCCTAGGGGTTGGAGCAACAATTGAGAATATCCATTACAACTGTATATCAGACAGAGTTGTCTCTCCAATCAGTTTTGAGCTGGTCGATATCAATTAATTGAATACCTACCTTGTACAATTACTGACAGTGAGTAGTACAGGACGCTCACAATCTAATGGAAGAAGCTGGGATATGTAGGCATGCATACACAAAGACACATGAAGAACACATACAAAAGATATGTTGGCAAGCCTCACTTGATGAGAGGCAGCCAGATACCTGGACCATGTCACTTTGTATCCATGTACCTTGTTCCTTCATGTGTGGAATGAGGGTGCTAGACCAGAAGACCTCTAAGGTCCTTTCCATTTCTGAATTCTAGTATTTTGGGGGATTTAGTGTAGAGGGTTTGAATGAGTGAATGGATTTATTTATTAAATCAAAAAGCACTAATTAAGCACTTGCTGTATGCTAGGCATTGTGTTAGTTGCTAGGGACACAAAGATGAAAACAGAACAGCCCCTGCCTTCAGGGAGGTTACATTCCTTTATGGTTAAGCACAATTCTGTATACATAGAAAACTAAATACAAAACATACGGAATAATTTTGGGGGAAAGTCCTTAGCAGCTGGGGGGATCAGGAAAGGAGGCTGATACCTGAGCTGAGATTTGAAGGAAGCTAGAGGATCTAAGTGGTGGAAGTGAGGAGAGTCTTCCAGGACTAAGGATAGAAGTGTGGACACAGGAGGCCAGTGAGGAACAGAAAATAGGCCAGTTTGATTGCAGTGTAGATGGGATGAGAGAGAGTAATGTGCAATGATCTTTGAAAAATGGGCTACAGCCAAATAGCAAAGGACTCCAAAAGCCACCAGGAGTTTGTACGTTATTCTAGTAACAGAATAACCTACTGAAATTTCCTGAGTAGGGGAGTGACAGGGTCAGATCCGTGCTTTGGATATGAAAATTTGCAGCTCTGTGGAGAATGGATTGAAGAGACTTGAGGAAAGGAGACCAGTTAGAAGCCTATTTCAGGCAGAAAGTGATGAGGTCTAGAACTAGGATGGTGGCCATGTGAATGGTGAAAAGGGGACGTATGGGAGATGTAGTGGCTTTTGTGACTATACTCCTTGAAAAGGCCATCTGCAATAAGTGCCTCCCCTTTCTCTCCCTCTTTAACACTTGGCGATCCCTCATCATTCCATCGAAACTGCTCTCTCCAAGGTTACTAGTGATCTAATTGACAAACCCAGTGACCTTTTCCTTTTCTCTGTTCTCATTCTTCTTGAGCTTTCTGTAACCTTTGACATGTTGATCATCCTCTTCTCCTTTCTCTTTTCTCTCTAGTTTTTTGAGACACTACCCTCACTTGGTTCTCCTCCCTATCAGAACTTCTCCTTCTCCTGCTCTTTTGCTGGATGCTCATCCAGTTAACACCCTCTAACCATAAAAGTCACACAGGGCTCTGTCTTGGACTCTCTTCTCCCTCTGTTCTACTTCACTTAGTGATCCCATCAGCTCCCATGGATTTAATTACCATCTTTGTGCTGATGATTCTCAGATATACCTATCCTGCTCTAACCTTTCTGCTGACCTCCAGTCTCGCACCTCCAACTACCTTTCAGACATCTTAAACTGGTTGTCCAGTAGACATCTTAAACACAACATGTCCAAAACTGAACTCCTAAACGCTGTCCCCTTCCAAATTTCCCTATTATTGTTGAGGGCAACACCATCCTCCCACTCCCTCAGGCTCAGAACCTAGTTGTTTTTCTCAACTCCTCACTATCTCTTACCCCCCAAATCCAATCTCAATTTCACCTTTGCAGCATCTCTCAAAGAATTCTCACTTCTCTCCTCTGACACTGCCACTACTATGGTGCTGGCCCTCATCACCTCTTGCCTAGACTACTGAAGTAGACTGTTTGTGAATCTTCCTGTTTCAAGTCTTTCCCCACTCCAGTTCATCCTCCATTCAGACACGAAAGTGATTTTCCTAAAGTACAGGTCTAACCTGTCATTCCCCTAATCAATAAACTCTGTCCTATCTAGATAGCTCCCTGTCACCTCCAGGATCAAATACAAAATCCTCTGGCATTCGGAGCCCTTCACAGCCTAATTCTCCTCTACATTATCAGTTTTCTTATACTTACTCCATGCCAATTACTCTTCAATCCATTGACCCAGGCTTCCTAGCTGTTCCATGAACAAGATACTCTACCTCTCAGGTCCTGGCATTTTCCCTGGTTGTTTTGTATGTGTGTCATAGTCTCCCTTCTCATCTCTGCTTCCTGGCTTTCTTTGGGTTCCAACTAAAATTATACCTCCTCTAGGAAGCCTTTCCCAACCCCTCTTAATTCTAGTGCCTTCCGTCTGTTAATTATTTCCTATTTACCCTATATGTAGCTTATTTTTTACATGTTTGTTTGCTGCTTGTCTTCCCCAACAGATTGTGAGTTCCTTGAGGGCAGGGATTTTTTCACTTCTTTTTATATCCCCAGTGCTTAGAACAGTGCCTGGCACATAGTAGGTGCTTAGTAAGTACATATTGACTTACTGGTGTATTGTAGAATTAGATTTGATAACCCATAGCAACTGATTGGGTGCAAGGGAGAGGGAAGAACTAGAGAGGATTTTGATGTTGCATAACTGGGTGATTGGAAGGATGTTGGAGCCTTAATATAGAGGATTTAGGAAGAGGTAGGTTTGGGGGAGAGAGTGGGGGATGGAAATTATTTCTGTTTTGGACATGTTGAGTTTGAGGTGCCTAAGGTGCTTCCAGATGAGATGCTCAAGTTCTGGAGAAAGAGGCTGCAGATATAAATCTGGGAGTTGCCTGCATAGAGCTGATGGTTGAACACGTGAGACTGAATTGAGTCATCAGCAGTGACTGATGAGGTTAGTTAGGAGTTAAAGGAGGTAAGTGTGGAGTATTATTTTAAAGGTTAGGAAGGAGACTCATTAAAGTTTGGGTGAGGGATGGCAATAGCACACATGAAGGCTTAAAGCTAGAGAACAGTATGCAGGCTTTAAGTGGAGAGCAAAGTGATTTTGCAGTTCTCGAGCAGGATTTGCAGATCTTCAGGCTCCTTGAACATAGACACCCTCTTTCCCCCCTCCCCCTCACTGCCCCAAATTAAGGGTCCTGAGTTTAGAGCCATAGGTAGCTTTTGGTAGAGTGAAGAGAATGTTACTTGTTCCTGCTGGGGGTCCTTTGACAGCTAATGGCGACAATCTTTTTTTTTTCCCCTTCCAAGAAAAGGTGTTATTTTCTAGTAGAATCCTTTTATTAGGTTGCTCATTCCTCTTTGTTCTGCCCTCTTCCTAGGTGGCCCAGGGGTCAAGAGCTGTATCACCGACATCCTGCCTATTTTGGCTAAGATGTTATATGGCGACAAAGCAGAGCCGTTGCACCTCTGCCATCGTCTGGACAAGGAGACAACAGGAGTGATGGTGTTGGCACGGGACAAGGAGATGGCTTACCAAGTCCAAGAGCTGTTTAAAACCCGGCAGGTGGCAAAGAAGTACTGGTAGGAGCATCATTGGGACAGTTAACTCGGATGAAGGACTGACTTTTTGTCCATTCACTCAGCAAATGTTTATGGAGCACCTATTGTGTGCAAGACATTTTAGGCACAAAAAAATATAAAATGTTCCTCCCCGTCACGGAGCTCATAGTCCATCACTATCATTGCCCAATATTCTGCTCCCCTTTTCTCCCCTCCCCTAAGAACCCTTCCTTATAGAACTTCATCTAAGAAAACAGACTGATGGAGTGACTGATTCTGACAGCACATGCCTTCTAGCTTCCTTTCATAACTAATATACAACCACCTCTCTAGCAAGAGAGATCATTAGTCCTTTGGGGTTAAGATTGACTTTTGCATTGATCTGCCTTTTCATGTCTTTTAGTGTTGTCTTCCTTTACTTTACTGTGGTTATTATGCTTATTATTTCACTATATATCACTTCACACAAGTTTTCCCAAAATTCCCTGAATTATTCATATTCAATTCAAATAAATTTTAATCCTGCAATAATATTCCATTATATTCATTTTCACAGTTTGTTCACACTTTCTCTAAATAGTGGGCACCCGATTTTTCTTCAGTTTTTTGCTACTACAAAAAGTGCAGCTGTGAATAGTTTGGAGTGAAGGAGTCCCTTCCTTTTATCAAAACAGAGTTTTACAAAGTTTTTCATGACTGTGGTTCACACCAGTTCATATAGATAAATAGAAGTTCCTACAGATTTGTACTTTTTTTAAAAAATTAATTTATTTTTTAGTTTTCAACATTCACTTCCATAAGCTTTTGAGTTTTGAATTTTCTCCCCCTCCCTCTTTGCCTCCCTCCCCAAGATGGCATGCAGTCTGATTTAGGCTGTACATATTCATTCCTATTAAACATTTTCACATCAGTGATGTTGTAAAGAAGAATTAGAACCAATAGGAGGAACCACAAGAAAGAGGAAACAAAACAAAACGGAAGAAGAAAAAACAAAAGAGCAAATAGTCTGCTTCGATCTGCATTCCAGCTCCGTAGTTCTTTCTCTGGATGTAGATAGCATTTTCCATCATGAGACTTTTGAAGATGTCTTAGATTTTTGCATTGCTGAGAAGAACTAAGTCTATGAAAGTTAGTCATTGCACAACATGGCTGTTACTGTGTACAACGTTTGCCTGGTTCTGCTCACTTCACTCAGCATCAATCCATATAAGTCTTTCCAGATTTTTTTGAAGTCCATGTGCTCATCATTTTTTTTTTTTGCTTTTTGGTGAGGCAGTCGGGGTTAAGAGACTTGCTCAGAGTCACACAGCTGCTTATCATTTCTTATAGCACAGTAGGATTACATCCATATACCACAGCTTGTTCAGCCATTCCCCAATTGATGGGCATTCCCTCAATTTCCAGTTCTTTGCCACCACAGAAAGAAGTGCTATAAATATTTTTGTACATGTGGGTCCTTTTCCCATTTTTATGATCTCTTTAGGATACAGACCTAGAAGTGCTCAGATTTATACTCTTAATGAAGGATATTGGATGTACTGTTACATATCCATTGCCTTTCCTAGGACTTAGTCCTTACCCTGGAGCAGGGGATCTTGACACGTGTGTGTGTGTGTGTGTGTACCCCTTTGGCAGTCTATGGTACCCCTTCTTAAAATCATCTTTTTAAATAATTGAAGGAACTTCTAAAGAAATTAGGGAGAGTAAAGATATATGTTTTTCCCATCCAAGTTCACAGAACCCCCTTAAATCTATCTGCAGACTCCTTCTTAAGAAGTTCTGCTCTTGAGGAACGTCCCCTTTGGAAAACTAAGATCACAAAGATGGTGGTTCTTGTTTGCCTGCAGTCCTTACTAAGCGATGGATTGCTTAGGATGGGACAGTGGTGGTGAAAAACCATCTGCTATTCTTTGAACCCTTTGTTCTGAGGAACATCTAGCTGATAGAATTCTCTCTTTCTGAAGGGAAGCCTAAGCTTACCAAGAAGGCCAAGCTGATGAGAGGGAAACCTTATTCCCCTACAATTAGGAGAGGGTACTATGTAGGAACAATCCTTTTTTGTTTTATTTTTAACCAAGAAGGTGGAACTGTTCCCTCTAATCCTTCTGTCATCATTTTCCTCACTTAAAAAAAAAAAGCATGTACCAAATAGCCATTTGTGAGTGGCTTTATGCTAGGCACCCCAAAGACTATACAGATATAGCAGGTAGACTTACAGTTGTGTTATATAACTATAGACTTCCCTCCCCCCTCATCTCTTCTAGGGATGTGTAATGCTTGTGTTCTGTCCCCTCCCCCCAGGGCCATCTGTGTGGGGGTCCCCGTTCATTCAGCAGGGATGATAGATATCCCTATAATTGAGAAGGAGGTGCAAGGCCAGCAGAAACACCATAAGGTAGGTAGGCTTCTTCTGTGCAGAGCTTTCTTTTCATCTCATTTCCTTGAAGTCAAGTCTTGATCTCTCTGGCTTCAGATGACATTGGCACCCAACTACCGCATGGAGAATGGGAAAACCATGAAGGTCCGTCCAAACAGGCACGCTCATGTTGCTGTGACCCAGTATCAGGTGCTAAGCAGCACTCTGTCCTGTGCCCTCTTAGAGCTGCAGCCCATCACAGGTGAGGTCTTACTGTCTCAGAGTGAGTTAGCAAATCTAGAATGTTTCACAATGTCTTTGTGCAATTGTAAGTAACTAAAGCTTTTTAGACTCCTTATGAGACATTCCATACAGTGGATCAGTGAGCTGTCTCTAGTGCTCATTGTGAGAGTCTTCATGGACATGGCTTTGTAAGTATTTTGATCAGTCTGTGTCATTTCTTGGGTATTCAGGGTGATTCAGTATGATTCAGCAAACATTTAATAAGTACTTCTAATTGCAGGGCATAGTCCTAGGCTTTGGGGGAGATGCAAGGTAAATGAGACATTGTCCTCAAGGTTTTTACTGTTTAGTAAGAAGATAGGACACATACACCAGTGCTTTGAATGAGATGAATTTTCTGGATCTGCTGTTTTTCTTTTTCCTCAATTATTCAGGGGTTAAGCATCAACTTCGAGTCCACCTAGCCTTTGGATTGGGGTGTCCAGTCCTTGGGGATCACAAATATTCTGACTGGAACAAGTTGGCTCCCCAGGTAAGAGGGCCCTGACTTCTAAAGAATCACAAAAAGGAAAGAGAGATTGTTCTTTGTGCCCAGTGGGTCAAAACCCCAGAATAAGTCAGTTAGCAAAGGGTTATCAAGTGCCCTTTTGGTATTTAATATTGGACTGGACATTTGGGGAATATAGAACAGGCAGTCACAGCTCTTGGGGAGCTCATACTCAGAGGAGTTAGATGTTCAGGCAGCAGAAGTATATTTTAAGTATATGTCATAAAAATCCATAGGCAGAGCAAGATGGATCAGAGTAGGGAAGAGCTTGTATAGAGTTAATTAGGAGATCCTTTCTGCTTTATTCATTCTCAGCTTTCATTTTTATTTTGGGTCTCTAAAAGTTAACAGCAACCTTTTCTCACTTGGCTGAAGAGCCAAGGAATTCAGCAGTACTGGTAGAACCCATCCTTTCTGAAAGACTCACAGCCAGACTGGTGGCAGTAACCCAGGGGTCATGACTTCTGGATTTAAGAGCCTTGAGACTATGTCTAATCACTTCCCAGGTGTAGTTTGGAAAAAAGAGGCCTAACAATTGCTCTGTCTCCTAGGAAGATTTTCACAGTGATGTCTTCAGAGCAGAGGCTCGCAGGCCCTTCCTGCTACTTGAGGATATGTTTCCTCCATCCTTTTTCATGGGCCTCTCTTTCCCTTATACAGAAATTGTCTGTTGGCATCCTGAAGAAACTGGGTCTGGAAAAGACAAAGACCCGTTACCTTCCTCTCCACCTGCATGCCCAGCAGCTGATCCTACCTTCCCTGAGCTCTGAAAATCAGGAACTTAACTTGGTTTGCAAGCTCCCCAAGTTCTTCGTGCATTCTTTATCACATCTAAGACTGGAAATCCCTGAGAAAGACTGAGATTAAAGTGAGGTACTGAATAGAACATGGTATGGGACAATTGGACAATTTTTCATTGGGCCCATTGGCTTTGCTCTCTCTTGGAGCCTGTATTCTGTGAAGCAAGAAAGTTCAAGAGATGACTCTCCAGGAGGAGGTCTTCATCGTCCTCCAGATACTTTTGACTTTGAAGTTGGAGCTGCTGGGTGGGTTGACTTTCCGTGGAATTAGAATCCAGCATCCAGATGTACAAAGGACAAATATGATGGGCTGAAGATTCTGAGTTATTTCAGGTTCTCTTATATAAAACAAAGCTTACTTTCTGATAAGGTCAGCAGGTCGTGGAGATGCTTGTTTTGTGGGTTTGTATTATCCTCTCACTTCACTGGAACAGAAGAACCCAGCTAAGCTAGGCAGACTGGTATAAGTGGGGAAAATTAAATATAGATAATCCCCAAGGACAGAAACAAGAACCAAAAACTATATTCTTCCTATAATAAAATTCTTATTTAAACTGTATGCTACTTACCAGGTAAGTTCTTATTTTGAATGCCCATCATGGCTTAACTTGTGTCTGCTGTGCTGAGCAAACAGGTTTCATACAACCTCTCCAGTGTCCCTCATGTGCCATCTTCTAGAAGCACCTCATAGGGGTCGCCATCTTCCCCATTCCTGCAGTAAGGAATTCGCCAATACCGGATTCCCAGGTTACCTTGATGGCTATTAGGGCCTACCATTTAAGGCAGTAAGTATCAGCATCATGGTCTTCTGGCAGCTCCATCCTTGCTGTCCTTCAGGTTCTGGGCCCTAGGTCCTTCTCATTCTGATCATCTTTGTTCCAGTGCAAGGTCTGTCATTTTACAACCTGCCCTCTTTGTCTTTGGTTTTGACTGTACTGTGTTGAATTCCTTCCATAAGAGTCAGTGAAAGGAAATGCAGGAATGGCTTCTATAATGCTCCCCAAAATTTACAACACAGCTGAGGTTACTCACTCATCCAGTAGGATTTATTTGACTGCATGAACTATTTCAAAAGGTGTCTCTCTTCCTCAAGGTTATCAGTCACTCCCCTCTTGTAAACTTCTACTTTTTCCTTAACATTCCTCAAGTTATGTGCTACTTTGGGCGTTCTGTCACACTGAAAGGTGGAGGGATTGTGGCTTCTTATGAAGGGTGGAAGGGTGGTGGAGAGAGTGAGCTGTTTCAGTAGTGATCATGGGCTAGGGGACTCAGGAAAAGGGGGAATATTAGCTGTTCTGTTAAGGAATAATGAGGAAGCAAGGGGAAAAGGGTGACCTGGGAGTTCTATGGGGTTCAAGGAGCAGTGGTAGGAATTTTTCAGATGAATTAATAGGCATAGAAGAACTTAACTGTCCAGTGCTGAAGGGGTGTTGCTGTTTATGCCCAGTTTTCATTGTGCCTGTGCAAATCTGTAGTTATGCAGGTACTTCTATTTCTTTTTTTCTTGATTGGATCTGATTTGGAAGCCAGATTTTCCCTCTGTGTCTGAACAAAGAAAACAGCCATCTGAACTCCAGGAATGGAAATTTTCTTGGCTTCTGTGTTTTCATTCCTAGCTATAGTCAGCTTATTTCTTGTAGCCAAATATACCTCAGATTCCTTTTGGCTGAATTAAGGGATGGAGGAGTGATAGCATAATGGGAGGAAAGGACCCCCAGTGCAGCTGTTACATACTCCCTGTGTGCCGCTGACACAAACATCTTTCTGAGTCTCCATCTTTACCCGTTTCCATGGTGCCCATTACCATAGTGCATAATCTCTCAGAGTTGTTTGCTACCGTATGGAAGAGAGTTTTAATTTTACTAATATACTTTCACATTTGTTTAATTCCTGACCATATTTGGGGTATCTTAAATAAATCCTGCATTCTTCTGAATAAAAGCAGTGCAATGTGAGACCTGGGGGTACGGAAATAGGCATCCTATGAGAGAGGGAGAGAGCAGTATTAGGAAGCAGAGAAAACAGTAGATGAAATGGAGTTAGGTTGATGGAGCATGATAGGGAAGAGAGGGGAGAAAACCTCTAAGTCAGGGAGATAAATGGTTGAAGCACATGGAAAACTGATAGAACAATAACTAATGTTTACATAGAACTTTATAGTTTGCAAAGTGTTTGATATACATGATCTCACTTGAGCTTCACGACTCCATAGGTACTACACATATTATCCTCATTTCACAAGTGGGGAAACTGAGGCTCAGAGAGAGATTAAGTAATAATAGCTGGCATAGCTGTTATTAGCTATATTATTATGTTAGCCATATATTATTGCTATTAATAGCAAAACTGAAAGTTTTGCAAAGTACTTTGTGCGTGTTATCTCCTTTGATCCACACAACAACGCTGTGAGGTAGATGCTGTTTTTATTCCTATTTTGCAGAGGAGGAAACTGAAGCTAAGATAAAGGAAAGTGACTTTCCCAGGATCATACAGCTTAGTGGCTGAGGCAGGATTTTAATTCAGGTCTTCCTGACTCTAAGGCCAACATTCTATCTACTGGGCTGAAGACTTGGTCACTAGTAAGTATCAGAAGGGATTTAGGCTCTCTAACTTTTAAGTTTGGCCATTTGAAAGAATTCATTTACCCTGGTGCCTCACCATGGCATGGAGGAGACTGACCCTTGAACAAGGTCTGGAAGGTCTTTCCAAGGGGAATGGCTTCAAGTGTAGCCCCTGTGATGGGCTCTAGGCCATTCTTCTGAGAACCTGGACACTAAATCTTGAGAGGCTCATCACCAGGGAGTTTGCCACCAGGTGTTTTTTTGTTTTGTTTTGTTTTGTTTTTGTTTTTTTAGCCCTAGCAATTCACAAAGGCTGCCTGCTAAGGCTTTTGTGGGAGGCTTAAATTTTACATCAGTGGATGGAGGACTCGTGCCAATACAATTTCATATCCTTAAAAAATTAAAGTTTAATATCAGATAATGCCAACATAACCCAAACTTAGAGGTCAACATGAATGTTGCTCTTCACAATGGTCAGCATGGCAGGTTTATCATTTATTCAGGTGGAACTTCTATTTTGGTTTTGCCTTCAGAAGCAGGTCCTCCCCACACACTGTGTCATAGATGCACAAGTTGATGCACCTGGGTGGGCCTCAGTTTCCTCATCTGTAAAATGAGGGGATTGAACTAAATGATCTCTCAAGTTCCATCTATCTCTAGATCCTGTGATCCTCTAGGTTGGGAAGAGAAAGAAAGCCTCATCGAAGAGAAAGCGGTAGCCTCAGAGAACCTGAGATTTTTCCAATGGAGTTCTGACCAAAGAAAGTAAAGACCCAGCCACAGAAGGACTCCCTAGTTTCAACCCAACCCCCAAGTTGCACAGAAATAAATTAATGAGTTCTAGCTAATCTAAATTGGGATTGAAGTCATACTCTCATTCAGTTTGGGATCTTTTGTATGATGGACAGCTCAGTGGCTCTGGGTGGAACTTGAAGAATGCTGAAAAATTTTAGATGAGGACCTCAGTCTTAGTTGTAAGATGACGTGTGATTTTTTTACCCTTTATTGTTTGCATGGGTTGCAGGAAGAGAACAGTGGGATGTGACTCGACACGTGATTTCTAGTCCTGGCTCTGCCATTAAATGTCTTAGAGACCTAAGGCAAGGTTTTCAACCTCTCTAGCCCTCAGTTTCCTCATTTCTAAGTTGAGTGCATAGAATGGGGCAATTTCTTAGGTCCTTTTCAGCTCTAACATTCCACGATTCTCGATTATTTTATTTGTCACGAAGATAACTGCATGTTGCTTCCCTACCACGTGCCCAGCCTGTAGGCTACAATCCTAAGCATCACAGTTTCTATAGCAACAACTACTGTTCCCTATACAAGTGGTAGGGAAACATAGGAAAGCCCACTCTTTTCACTCTTATACATACAACTGTAGAGACAGATTTACAGTATCATACATACCCACACCTACACGTACATTCACACTCATGGCACACACATATGCCTACACAGCTTTAATTACTCATGCCCTAGACCTCATGTATGCTGGACCTTCTGCCTACCCTTTCCCAGCTCGAAGTGATTCATAGCTTCCACCGTCTCTTACACTTTAAGATACCTCATGCCTCCCTACAAGAGAAGAAACATCATAAAGTTAATGATGAATTGCAAAGGAATGGTACAGATGATTAGTATTCCCCTTCTCCATCATTCCTTCCCAGATGATGGTGCTCTTGGTATTTAGCCGTGAGTGGTGCCTCCCTTATTCAGCCTACATCAAGGAATCTGTCTCTATCAAGCACATATGTTTGTACAATCAAAAACCCGTATATGTGGCTGGTGGGCTGCATGTAAAGCCAGTTGTAAACTTTGGGGCAGCCACCAGGGGGCAGCAGTACTCTGTGCTGTTTCCCTTTGCCTGTCGAGCTAATCAAGAGAGATGTCAAGCATCCTGGATCCCAGACCAGTGTCTTGGCTCTGCTACTTGTAATTACCAGACATCCTTGTCTGGGCTTTTCTAGCATTTCCAGCCTTACAGTCGCTGTTGCCTTAACTATTTGGGGTGAGGGCTAAGGAGATTTTCTTGTTCTTTGCAGAGAGAAGAAGGCTGAAGTCATGGGTCTAAGGCCCACTCTGGTCTTCATCCTTATTGTTTCTGATGTTATGGGGGTGTATATCCAGGCCTGCAGCCTCAGACCATCACAAGAAGCTCCAAAACCAGAGAGCCCAGCCTGGGAATAGGATTTCTCTGTCCAGGGTAGCATAGGTGCTACTATGTCTGAGACAAGATTCGGATCAGGCTTCAGTCAGGGTTCCCTGTTGCCTTTGTTTACTGCTTAAAAGACTTTGAATCCACTGGTCCTCTTGCATAACAGGTCTTATCTCCCCAGATGTCCAGTCCCATTCATTTTGGTCCAGCCATTGCTCACCATTTGCTCCCTACCCTTCCAACTCCCCCACTCCCCTCCCCCCACACCACACCAGTGGACTTTTGGTCTGTCTTGGAATAGCCTTCCCTCATTTTTGGAACCATGTCTATTTCCTTTAAACTCAGTTCAAGGGTTACTTTTGAAGTCTTACTGGTTGTGTGTCCCTGGGCAGATCAGTTAACCCCTCTTAAGGTGTTCTCCTATTTAAAATGAGGTAGTTAGGTTCTAAAGGTCTCTTCCAGCATGAAATCTATGATACTTGGATTACCAGCTATGTGGCTCAGTAGATAAGAGTGTTAGGTCTGGAGTGAAGAAGACCTGAATTAAAATGTGGCCTCAGATACTTATTAAGTTTGTGACCCTGGGCTAGTCTTACCCTGGGCTAGACCCTTAACCTGTTGTTTGCCTCAGTTTCCTCAACTGAAAAATGGGGATGATAATAGCACCCATCTCACAGGATTGTGAGAATCAAATGAAATAAGATTTATAAAAGTAGTTAGCACGTTAACTGTCACATCATAGGTGCTTAATAAATACTTAATGCTTTATTCCCTTATGATTCTGTGATCTTTACTGACTCACAGTACCATGCTCCAGTTTTCCCTGTTCTCTTGTCTTGCTTC